GAAGCCTCCAGGCCAATGTTGTTTTCGTCTCGTTGCTGATAGCTTGAATCCTGCGTGCGGTTCTTGCGCCCGACAAATAGCCACCGGCCACCGCGCCCAATGGCCTTCACTAGGTCAAATGGGTTCATGGCATCGACGAGCGCTTTGACACCGAAGCGTCCGCCTTGGTACGATTCTTTGCCGTTGCCGTAGAAATCGGTTACCTCGCCGGGTTGCACGGCGTAGGGTTTCCAGGCAAATGCCCACAGGTGCAGGAAGGAGAATATAGCCATTTCAATATTGATAAGGAGCTCGGGGAGTCCGTATTTCAGGTCAGCCAGGGCTATTTGCGGGGTTGAATTGATGGCGCCCATGGTCACGAGGATGCTGATGAGTGTCTAGTAGAGGTTAGAAAAGGTCGGAAGAAGTCCCAGAGCGTACGCCAGCTATATTAGAGCTTACCGATTGCCAGAATGACAAGAAAATAACCAGCTTGATGGAGAGGATCTTCATGAACGGCTTGTGCTCACTGATATCATCTTTGATTTGGTAGTAGAATTGAATCAAGCAATACATCGCAATTGAGACGGAGATGGATTCGAAGACGATCACCTGTAGGAAAAGTGTGAGCTCAGTCCCCCAGTTAAAGGGAATATTGTATACTGGTCACAACATACCCAAACGTGCGCAAATGCCGGGCTCATTGACTCTTCGCAATACCTGCCGCCAACTTGAGCGAGCACAGAAACCACGGTCATCAACACGCGCAGCACGCAGTATTGGAAAACACCAGTCCAAATAATCTGCCGAGGGACCAAGATCAGCATTCCATCCAGCCAGCTTTATTTTCCACCCTCGGAACCTTCCTCCGCTTACATTAAACCATGTCAATCCACTGCGCGGGTTTCTCCAAAGGCGTTCTCCACCACACCACTTCCATTTTTGAAAGTGATTCAGCGGCCAAAGCCATGTCTTTGGTTGGATTCCTCGGAAATAGTCCTTTTGGCTGTGTAGATCGGGGGCGATGTAGTGGCACATGAGGCCGAAGAAAGCGGCGATACAGAAGGCTTCGTAGCAGTTGCCGATCACTTCGAAATAGACAGCGTCGTGGTAGAAAAGAATACTGATCCATGCGACGACGGAGTAGACGGGGACCATCCAAAGGATGCGAATAATACTGCGCAACGATCGACATGTCAGTTCGGGCCTGGGACGCTTTTTCAATTGTTATTCTCCGACTCCCCACTTACTGGCGCTGTTCGACGGGTTTACTGTAGTGGGTGGCATGGCCCATGATCAGGAAAATGGATATGACGCAGGCGATTAGGGCGCAGACACCGCCCAGGATCAGGGAAAGTTCGTGAAATGTGATTCCGCCATCCCAGAGATCGACCTCCTCGACTGTCGCAAGTCAGTTCCGCGAATTCCAAACCGATGCGATGCGCCGATGCGCCAGGGGGAGGGGGGTGGAGGGACAACCCACTTTTCTGCTCCTCTGTAGTGGTATTGCACGTTGTCCAGCCCATTTTGGCTGGGGTGCTGGTGGGGAGACGATTTCCGAGTAGAACGAGGTAGATAGATGAAGGTGTGAAAGGGAGAAAGAGAGAAAGAGCTAAGAATCTAAGATCACTCTGGGCGCCAAGCAGGGCCGGGGACGGGGGCCGTTTTACCTTCGTACCTTCGTACCTGGAGAGTTTCCGCTCAACTATGCCTGCAGCCTTGTCAACCTCAGAGGAACAAAGGAGAGTGAAGAGAACCAGTCAAATTGTTACAATGACGGCCGAATGAACGGGGCATCGCTAAGTCCTTTCCTCAACCAAGCCAAGCCACATTTGCGGGTGCAGCGATCGGCGGTCTTGGGCAGCCTTAGCAGGCTTGTCTATTTTGGGCGCTTACGGCCTTAGGAGGAGTATTGAGAGGATAGATCAGAGGTATGTGACTGAGTTTTGCTTTGCTTGACTTTGCTATCATTGCTAATCGTACAGGGCAGATCTATAACTGCTTCTTTTTGTTTATTTTGGTCTTGGATTGGCCTTGGATTGCCCTTCAACGTCCCCGCCAATTCCTTCCTCGTCCCCCACGTCCTGCACGTTCCTGACGTCGCGCTGCAGCTGCTGGACCGTATTCTGGACCAATGTCTACGAACGCATCTTCGTCTTCAAACGTAATTCGGCGCATCTCCTCGCCTCCACGTCGGGGACATGGGCCCTTACGAAGCAGCTCATCAAACTGGTCCAACCGCTTGTCTGCAATATCCCGCGCCACAGGTAGGTAGTAGAGCTTCGGCTTAGCTGTTGTAGACTTGAATAGTTCATCTAAGGGCTTAAAGCCTTGACCGGGTCGCGACGGAGGTGCGGGTGGGGCGCTGGGAGGCTGATGCTCAGCCTGGCTGAAGCTACCGCGCGGACCCGTCGACGGGCCATCGATCCCACTCTGGTGTGGTTTAATCGGGGCGGAACGCGAACTTAGCCCAGCCTCGGACAGTGTGGCTTCAGTGCCATCGTCAGTGGTATCGTAGCGCACTTCCCAGCGGACCGGAGGGCCGGCTCGGTTTCGCGATGCTTCTTCTGTTTGGATCCATTCTTGGATTTTCTCGTCGGGAATGAAATCGGCCCAGAGGCTCTTCCGGTTACGTTCATTGGGCCATATTTTTCCATGTATGGAGGAACGCACTCGCGATGCGGCTTGCACATCGCGGAATCGAACAAAGCAGTGTGTTTTGATTGGATCGAGATAGTACTCCTGGATTGCCTCTGAGTCGGTCGGCGCGCTGGGTGCAGTGGCGAGATTGGCGAGATGAGCTCGAAGTGCTGGGGGTTGCAAAGGACGCATCAGTCCGTCAATATAGAGAGATGTGGTGGCGGCGTGAAGGGCAGGCGTGACGTCCGCGTCCGCGTCCTCCATAACAACATCTTGAGGTGGTTTTGATTGTTGAACCGGCCCTGTTTCCGTAGAAGCAAATAGGCCTCGGAAGCGAGCGTCCTGTTTGACTGGAGTTGGAGGTTTGGGAGCCGAGGTCGGCAGGGCACTCTCATTTGCTTTCTGCTCTTCTTGAATAGGCTCTTGGGTAGGTTCCTTGGAAGATTCTGTTTCCTGAACGCCCGGCTCCTTGTCTAATACGATCTGCGGTCCCTCTTCTTCTGCCCGGGCCTTTTTAGCCGCGATCGCCTGGGGTGTGGGAACGGGGCTCTGGCTACGGCGTTTGCGTTTCCGTTTATCTTCCAGGGCCTCTTCAATTGGCAAAGGCGTTGAAAACTCCGTATTGGCTTCGGATGTGTGTGCTACCGAGTGCACTAATGTATCGAGAGGTTGCGCCAATTCTTCTCCGGGCTCCTTGCTGGGTTCGTCGGAGGTAGTAGCTGCAGGTGCGGCCTCCCCTTGTTCCTCGTCACCATTTGTCTGTTTACCTTGCTTCCCTTCCACCTGCGGCTGCTCGGTTTGCGCCGGTTCTGTGGCCGGTTGTTCTTTCGTTACAGGTTGTTCTTCTTGGGGCGGTTGTTCGGGCTGCTGCTGGTCGGTGATTTCAGCTGCTGGGGCCAATTCTTCAGTCGCCTCCTGTTCCGCATCATCGACGGGACCTGGCTCGGGCGAAGCCGGTGCTGCGTCATCTGTTGAAGCTTTCGCGTCTTCCTCGGTGAGCTTGTCGACAAAGTGCTGCTTGAGACGCAGGCCGGTGCCAGGAATACCGCGCTTCTTCAGCTCGGCCTTGAGCTCGGCCACCTTCCATGAAGAGTAATCAGTCATTGTGGCGTGGCATGGAATTGAGGTGAGGTGAGGTGAGAGTTGAAATCAACAATGTAGGGTCGTGAAGACTCTCGCGCATTCGGCGCGCCGATGACGTAAGGTGGCTTCCCTCCGAATCGAGACTAGCGTGGCATATAACCTTATGCTAAGCATGCAGGTCTACTTGGTCTACTTCGAAATCATGCATGACACACGCCAACATACTATAAATCAATCGCTCACGGCATGTGAGAAGATGGTATTGATTCTAAGAATCCAGAGGCCGGATGGAAGCCCAACCTGAGCCACAGCTTATCTATCAAAAGAAGTCTAGAAGCCGGCTAGGTAATGATCGAAAATCGATGCAAAGATGTTTAGTTTTAATCTGGCCTGGAATTCGCACTAAATTGAATTAGCCATGGCCTATCGATGATTGGATGGATTGCAAAGACTGTATATGTCTCAAGACCTATACCATACGCTGCTTTTCCTGCGCGGGGGTAGTGAGGACATTTCGCCACCTTGTGGCAAACTATAATGCCTACCCCCGACTAGACTCGGTGCACGAGGCGAATGATGGCCGGCTGTCAGTAAACTACCAATGAGCAAGCTCTAGTCTATCCCCAAAGCTCTAGCTATCAGCTGATGCTTGTGATCGATGGTTCATTATGTCATAGGACACTGTCGATGCCCGCCTGGGGCTATATATAGGTAGAGGGTGGAAACATGTGGCCACATCACAAACAGTCACATTATATTTGCCATGATACACTGCCCAAGTGACAAAGATGTCCACAAAGTTCAACGACTTCCAAACTCTACTTGACCAGCAGGTTGGCAGGGTCCCAAGCACATCCTGGCCAGGTTCAAGTATCGTCAACCTTGCCTCTAAACCCTATAGAACCAGGACTAATTTGCTCCCAAGGGAAAGCACCAGATAGATCGGCAGCGCAAAAGCGGATAGCCGTCAATTCCTTGCGATACCAAGGCGCTGCCTGGGCTACTGCCGGCGGTAGCATGATCGCTACATTATCGGGCGTCTTTAAGATTTTTCGAAATTTCCGCGGCTTCAAATACATTTAGCTATCATTTTTTACCGATCTACCGAAAACGAAAAGAATTCTAGTCACGATGGGAATCATCAAAATGGAGAAACCTGTGCTTGAGATCTTTCAGGAGAGTTGAGACACAAATTTATTTGTACTTCTGTGGCCAATCGAGTCTAGGACTTTTCTGAATAAGGCTCATTTTGAGAACTATCGGAATGTAGACATGACCCCACCGTCATTTCGACCTGCCTAATCCACGATTCCCTTGGGGAGAAGAGAAATATAGTCCAGAGGTGCTGGTTCAACTCCATCAGGAGTACCAACAATCTTCAATGTGTCGCCCTTCTTCACTTTGATATCCCGAAAATTGATGCGCGTGGCTGAGTGTCCATCCAAATATATGGAGGGGGTATGACTGAGATAGTCCTCGGCGTTTCCAATCCATTCACCAACCTTTTTGTTATTGAGATATACCTTCCACTGTGACTGACCTCCATAGAGGTCATAGTAGTTGACTGCCAGATCGTATGTTCCTGATGGAAATTTGATTTTCGTCGTAGCAGTTCCAACAGTGTCGTTAGAAGACGTGACAATTGCAATTGCGCCGGACGCTGTCTCAAATGGGCTGACAGTGTAGGTCTCGTAGCCATCGAGATACATGCTTTCTGCCTCAATGCGCCATGGATGATGATCAACGCGCTTCGATGTGTCGGCGATTCCGGAGAGATTATGGTAGAAGTCGACGATGGCATCTCGCCAGACAATCGAGTGCCCAGCTTGGTACTCAAAACGACGAAGGACATGTTCGTATCGCTCCTTGTCAATCTTGCTTTTCAAGCTTTCCCATTGTGTCAAAAAGGTCTGCGCTGTATCTGCACCGTCGTAGTGGGCATCATAGAAGTGCTGGATGACGGTTTTCCCAGAATGCAGACGGTGAGTGTAGTCAACATGATGAAACCACAGAAGAAGATTGTCGGGAGTGGTTTCGATATTTTCGTACACAGACGCAACCTCCGATGGATACTGGCCTGAGAACCCCGTTCCATTAGAGACCGTTCGATCCATTCCGATCGATGTATGGTCCGCACGAGTCCATTGACCCCAACCATTATTATCTTGTGAAGCAGGGTTCGGACCAAAGTGAGTATACAGGATATCGGTCAATGTCTGTATGCCCAAGTTTCCACTGTAGTTCTCATACGCTGGCCATGATTCCATTGACATCTTTGTGATGGCATTGAGAACGGTTTTATCCAAGCCAAAGGTCAACCGAATCCAATCCTGGAGCATGCCCTCAGAGTCATCAGTTGGGTCCCATGCTAATCGACCGTAGGCATATAAATTCGACATGGCTAAATGGCTACCAAGCCATGTAGTATTTGTGCCAACATTGACGACTGCAGTAGACCCGCCTAACTTCCGGTTGAAGCGCTTGCCGGAGTACACATCTCGAACTAAAGAGGGCTTCTCATCAACCCGAAGGTCAAAGTCGAAGATACCCTTCCAAAGAGGTGGAAGATAGAGGAGATGGGATTGCTGGCCAAGATATTCTTGTGTGACCTGGAGCTCAATTGCGGTGCTGGTATTGAGCAAATTTGCGAATAAGGGCGAGGCCGGTTCCCGAACTTGAAAGTCAATAGGCCCATATTTGATTTGGACTACCACGTTCTCCTCAAATTTGCCGTCCAGCTCTTTGAAGAAATTGACTGCAGCATTTGCACGATCAGCGTCCCAATTCGATTCGTTGAGCTGATTGTAGACGAAGGCGCGAAACATGACAATGCCTCCATGAGGCTCAAGGGCATGAGCGAAAAGATTGGCACCGTCTGCTAAAGTACGATTGTATGTTTCTGGACCCGGCTGTCCCTCAGAGCTGGCCTTTATGAGATAGCCAGCCATGTCCGGGACTTCATCATAAATCTGATCCGTGATGTTTGACCACCAGTTGATGACGGAGGCATCGAGAGGGTCGTAGGTGTCCAAGCCCCCGAATGTTTGAGGCGATGCGAAGTTGAGGGACACACCAACTTGGATACCGTACGGCCGGAAAACATCTGCAACTCTGGCTAGCCCTTTGATATTTGTAGGGGTGAGCAGCGTGGCGTTTGCATTGACATTATTGATGACGACGGCGTTCACTCTCACACTCGCTAGGAGACGAGCATACTGCTTAACCCGGGTCAGATCATCAACAATAGCACCATTCTTGAAAAATATGGATGGTCCACCATATCCTCTCTCGATGCTGCCGTCCATGTTATCCCATTGGTTTACCCATCTAATTGGGGCAACTGGGTTCGTAGCATAGGCGACTTCGGAGAAATTGCCCTGGGCCAACATTGAGAGATATTCGAAGGTACCGTATAGAACACTCTTTTCATTTGATCCTAAGATACGGATCCTATTGTTCCGGGTGTCAATCCAAAAACCATCTTCTTCCAGGTCCGGGATATCTTTCACAGCTCCGCAAGTCTTGCGATATTGCTCAAGGGTGCCAACGACCACGGAAGACGAAGACGATTTACACTTGTCGTGGCTGACACCAGTCTTTGTGCCATATATACTCTCCAACCCCTGTTGCAGCTCTGTACCTGCAACGTATACGGGGCTAGTTTCAGTTGCATTGAGGGCAACGATATTAGCGGGCAGCTTGGACTTGCATTGCTGGGAGCATGGCAACGGGGCATATCGTAGCCAACCGTCTAGTCCATTTTCAGCGGCCACAAGGCCTAGGGAGGCCAAAAAAAGAAGGACTCGCATGTTGGAATTTCAAACAAATCGAGCCATGGGAGAACAGAAGGACTGGGCGAAACCCCAGTCTACCGGAAGTCTTTATACCGACCCGTGCAAAAGCATCAGACGATCGGCAACTCCCTGGAGATTGCATTTCCCGGGCTTCAGGCTAAATGATTCTAACTTAAAGCTAATTGAGCAATGCTTTCAGGCTATAGTGCACAGCCAAGTTGACGAAGGTGAGGAGTGCAGCAGCGAAGTGGAGTTTCCCCGCAACCCGCGCGTGGGGGTGCCTCTTTAGCGTTGTCTCCTTAACGATTGCAACAAGAGCGGCTCATCGGGAAATTATCATGGACGGGACTCGAGATTACTTAGGTTGCAGATACTGGGAGACATAGGGGGCTGTTTTATTGAAACATCTCATAATTGTAGTAGGCTATTTCTTAGAAAACGCCACCTCTATGACCATCCTTATAACTTTTATTGAACAGGGTATGAGAATTGAGCACGGAGGCCAGAGATGTCATCAATCATTATTTTTGTTTTCCCACCAACGGGATTTTGGCTACGGGGAGGCTTGCGCCATCCCTAAACGCCGAGGCTGGTCCGACGAACAAGCATTTACTGCTCACGGGTCAGGATGTCGGAGTCACCGGCATCCAGGACGGCCATGGTGGAGCAGCGGAAGAGCTTACCGCAAGCGGTACCGAGCTCAATCTATGCGAGGGTTAGTTTTCTTACTGGCTCTCCGGGTATCCCCAAAGGGAATCCCATCGCTGAGCAACTTCACTCTCCGAAGCAGGAGATTGGAGACATTCTCATCGCCTGCAATCTCCCGCTTCTTCTCAGAGTAGTGGAGCTGGCATCCAGCTGCGACAGCTCGGTAGAGAGTCGACTTGAAGGGAATGCACGTACGTTGTTGCCGTTGAAGTGGTGGACGGGGACCTTGGCGAGCATGGCGTAGTACTCGAGCTCGGACTTGCGCAGGGAGGGCAGTTGCCGGCAATGAGGATGAGCTTGGCCTTGCCGGAGCGGAGGGTCTTCATGACGGACTTGGAGCCCATGGTGACTGGAATTGAGTTAGAAAAATGCCTTTGAAGTATTTTCACGTGGATTTGTGCGAAAACGTACCCTTGCCGGACTTCATGACCAGAGCGAGACGGGACGAGATGGTCTCGCCGGACTTCTTAGCCTTAACCATTTTGATGGATTTGGGGGGGGTTGTTGGTGGGTGGTGAGGTAAAGGTGGTCGTGAAGAAGATGGATGAAGGAGAGAAGTCGAAATCGCACAACTTTTTTTCGAAATGACCTTGGCCGATGAGCGGAGTGGATTGGAATAAGCGAGGACCCACTTTCTGCCTGCATCTCACCGCCTCCTAGTCTCACGTGATCAATCTCGCGGGGCTGCGGGGTGACTCATCACATTCTGCCTGTCCCGTCCGCCATGTGCCTGTGCCGATTTCTAATGAACTTGTCCCCCCTCCTCCCCCTCTCCTCCTTCCTTCTTCATTACATTCTTGCATTGAGATTCATTCACCATGGTGGCCGAAACCAGTGCACCCTCTGCACCCTTCCGTCAGTTCCTTCCCCTCATCCCCCCATTGTTTTACCTAGACGGCTACTAAATCCCGTAGAGAGAGTCGATTCCCAGCCTGAGAACCCTTACGCCGGTCTAATCGAGGATCAATCAATTGTGATTATCCCGTCGTTCAAACTCGAATCCGGCGTCACCCTATACAATGTACCGGTTGCTTACACAACCCGGGGTACCCTCTCCCCCAAGGGAGACAACGCCCTGGTCATTTGCCATGCCCTGAGTGGGAGCGCCGATGTCGCAGATTGGTGGGGTCCGCTGCTGGGTGGACCTGGACAGGCCTTCGATGTGTCTCGTTTCTTTGTGATCTGCCTGAACAGTCTGGGCAGCCCTTATGGAAGCGCGAGTGCCATCACCTATAAAGATGGTAAGCCTGAAAATGGCTACTATGGCCCGGAATTCCCCCTCACCACCGTCCGTGACGATGTCAAGTACGTACACCCACCCCACCATCAACATTCTCGGGCAAAGTTATTAATACCGGTTCAGCATTCATAAAATGGTGCTTGATGATTTGGGTGTGAAGCAAATCGCTGCTGTTGTTGGAGGATCCATGGGCGGCATGCTCACCCTCGAATACGCTTTCTTCGGCAAGGACTATGTCCGAGCCATTGTGCCGATTGCCACGTCTGCACGTCACTCTGCATGGTGCATTAGCTGGGGTGAGGCTCAAAGACAGAGCATTTACAGTGACCCCAAGTACGACGATGGTTACTACACATTCAATGACCCCCCTGCCACTGGTCTTGGGGCTGCTCGCATGTCGGCGCTCCTTACCTACCGCAGCCGCAACTCGTTCGAGTCGCGGTTTGGCCGCAACGTGCCGGACCCATCGAAGCAACTGAACATCAATGGTACCGAGAAGCTTCCCACGCCCCCCAATGAGCATTGGGCCATCCACAATGATGGACACCGCGGTGGTAACTCATCACGATCGGATAGCCGTCAGAATTCGCCAGCCCCTCAGGCTCCGCCGCCCGAGTTGGAGTTCATGGACCCTCAATTCTCTGGTACCAAGACCTTTGTCGCCCCGGCTCCTGAAAAGGTTGATTCTCGCGGGCGCCCACGCCCTCCCACCTACTTCTCGGCCCAGTCCTACCTTCGGTACCAGGGTGAGAAGTTCGTCAAGCGATTCGATGCAAACTGCTACATCGCCATGACCCGCAAGCTTGACACACACGACGTGTCTCGCCACCGGTCGAACCCTGATGCGGCCGACCCTGTTCTTGATGCTCTTTCTCGCGTCGAACAGCCCGCCTTGGTTTTGGGGATTGAGTCGGATGGTCTTTTCACTTTTGCCGAGCAGCAAGAGGTTGCAGCAGGCATTCCGGACTCACGTCTGAAACGCATTGATAGCCCTGAAGGTCACGATGCCTTCCTTTTGCAGTTCGAGCAGGTCAACCGTCACATCGTGGACTTCTTCAACGAAGTCCTGCCAGACATCATGGCACGTGATGGCGATAGTGCTGCCGTGGCCAGTGTCAATAAGCTTACCAAGAGCAGCACCTTCGGCGAGGCCGAAGTGGAGGACATTACCGCGTGGTAAACTTCTCGCTGACTATAGTCCATTATCGGCGCAGTCCTATCCTGCAGCCATCCCATGCTCCTGTCTCTGACGCGGATCCTCGTCCGGCTTTCTTGCTCTGGCAGTCAGAGTAAAGATGATTCGGTATTGGACTCCCGTATGAACAGGACGTCATGGCGCATCCAGGGGAAGTAGAGGTTGCCGTTCTTTTATCCGTTTCGCTAGTCAGAGAGATGAGCAATCAACTGCCTCTCTCAAATCTCACTTGGCCTTGTCCATGTAGAGAAGACTGACAAAGAAGCATCCAACTGCTTTCCATCGGACCCACCCTCTGGGTCATTTCTCAGAAAGAGATACACTCCGGAGGTTGATGGGTCCATTTTCGGGTCAATAGCCAATTTTTTGGTTATTCGTGCGACGACAAGTCGCTTTTTTATACATAGAAATCAATCAAAATTATGGGCTTACAGTCCCATTGTATATTTAAAATGCATACATCATCTTACGGCGCAATGGTGATGGCTTCCCCAATGATTCCTAAGGGGAATTCAAATTCAAATGAGAGACTAAGTTGGTTTTAAATCACGATACAAGTCCAAGTAGAGTATGATGTTGAATCAACCTCTTGACTCGCTGCCTGGCAACACTTGTTGAATGTATTGGCGCCAGGCAAGCAATACCCCAACGACCATCATCCATCATGCTCGACCTCCACCTTGCAACATATGAAATCAATAAACTGAGCCCCCAGGAATGTATAAGCATTCCTCCCTCCGCACTAACTCCTAGATGCCATCATAAAGCTGGCCCCGAGTTCTCCCTTGAGGGGAGACTGGGGACGACGTCGTATGCGTCCTCACGCTGACGGAAGAACCCACGCAACGGCGTCCCCGGCCTCCCCCTTGAGAAAGTACTCGGGGCTATCTTTATCAGGGCATATACCAGCAACTGCCGACGGAGGAATACTTGAACATTCCTCGAGGGGAGTAGTTCCTGTTCATGTAAGTTTTGGTTTGACTGTAGTCTCCAAGTTGGGACTAACATTAAACAGACTTATAGTCATTCAGGCAGGTCTGGTAGCAGGCCCAGATCCACGATAAACTGCCGAGTCACGACGATGTCCTCTCCAGAGTCAAGGTATACGGCACCGATGATAGCTTCCATAGTGGTGGCCATTAACCGTTCTTGCACGTAGTTTTGAGCAGGATTAGGTCGAATCACTCTGTCCAGGCCTCGATGGAACCCGACCAGGACCAGATTAACATTGGTACCAACAATTTTGCTTTGGAGGTCACTCATTTGTTCTATCTCGCGGTTAGTTTCTAGTTCTCATGTCAAATGAATCATATTCTCACCTGTCGACCAACCTCGAACGTAGCCATGCATATAGAGAATCAGTCGCAGCACTGCATCCCCGATTAAAGCAAGTCTTTTATTGCCCTCTGGTTTCGAAAAGGCACTCGCGGCCTCGAGGGCCTCATCCCGAAGACTTTCATCTTCAAATGTGTATGGTATCTCTTCTCCTGGAGGGTAAGACATTGCTTCGTTGTGTGATAGGGTACAGCACTGCGACTAATTAGATAGAGCTCGGGAATAGCAGTCACCGGCAAAGCCTGGAGATTGCAAGGGAGTGGTGAATGAGAGAATGCAATCAAGCCGGATTTTCCCCTTCATTTATGTTAGAATATATCTAGGTTGGTTTACAACCGGCCCATAGCCACGTCGACGGGCATAGAAGCAGTACTCCTAACCTTTCAAGATTAGCCACGTCAATGTGCCAGCAAGCGCTTACAGACAGCTGCAGGTAAGATTGAGAAGCTGTGAGGGTAGTATGAGGCTTGGGTGCAATGAGTTAGATCACTCGGACTTCTTTTCAAAAAGCAAGACGCGAGCTATTCGCTTAATGGTTTCAACGGATCAAGGTAGTATTGAGAATTAATTTAATCTACTATAGATACCTACATGGAAGACTACTGGTAGTTTAGAATATAATCTACTGTAGTAAACATGGGAATATGCGCAGTTCGGACCTAGAAAGTTTTGAAAATGCAACAGCCCTCAGGCTGGACTTCAAATTGGGAATAGTTCATGTTATTACTAGAGCTTAGTAGTACTACTACCAGTAGGAGCTCTGGAGCCACGGTAGTAAGCTTCCAAGCCTTGAGGCTCAACGGATGTTGCATCCTCGGACCCAGATGATCAAATATACAACCCCACATAATCACATCCAACACATCAGCTCCCCTTGTCTTGATGCTCGATTTATAGATACAATGCCATGGCAATGAGCTTTGAAGTAAGCAAGGGTACGGCAATGAATTGTAAATGTGTTCACTCAATGTCTCACATGGCAAAAACGGATACATCTCGGCTCTAAATTTAGACCACGGGGGAAGTGCGAATAGAAATGAGCTTCATTTAATTGAATTGTATGTAAGTGGCAATGGAATTTTATAGAAGTTGCTGCAAGGGGCTTCAACGGTTAAGTCATAGAAGTCAGACATTAATGAATATTTTGTAGTGTCCTTGCGATTGCATCATCAATGATCGACGTGGAAAAAAGAAATATCCCGAGCACAGCCCGAGTTTTTCGTACTTTTGTAGATCCAAAATCTTGATCTCTCGTATCAGCGGTGAAGATTAAAACAAATTCAAAACACCGGGGGTAAAGCAGAAAATTACGGTGAAGAGCAGTGGGTTTCTCCAAGCCATTCAAAGATGAGGCTACAAATCCAATCTCAAGCAAAGGGGAAAGAAGTGGGACGACAGCCGTTGAAGTGGAGACAGCCCTGGATGATTTCATTGGCACCAAGTGCATAAAGGGCCGAACTGGGAGACAAATCTAATAATTGTCAGGAGTGAGGAACCCCCGAACCCCCCACTGGGCGTATCGCCCCCCCTTGGGCAGCGAAACCTGCGAAACGAGTCAGAGCTTTCATGGTGGGGACAAAATAGACGATCGCCCCGAAAGGAGCACGGCCGAACGCCTTTCCCAATGGTTTCTATCAGTGAGAGACAGAGCGAATCAGCATCGAGGGCGTATCTAGCGTACATATGTGTGACAATATTAGCTGGGATAGGGGCGCCACAACGGAGTATTCGTACCTACGACTCCCCATACAAACCTAAGCGACCAAGGCTCAGAAACCGGGTCTAAAGGACAATGACGGATGAAAACCCCGTCGACGCCGGTCTGGACCTGACACTAACGGGCACTGGCTGATCTTAAACCCTGTTAGGTGAGATTCGGCCCCCCTTGTGGTCTTGTTTGTAGGGTGGTGGAGCCCATCTTCATGTTCATCTCGCCCTATTCCCCTCGCAACCCTAACCGGGTTGCTAACAGGGCCTCCACTCGACTCCTGATAATCAGGCGAGCACAAGCCTTGACTGGCTAGGGTGGCTATCTATTGGTTATCCAATCGTTTTGATTTATGGATCTTCGGCCCCCCTCCACATGAAATGGATCAGCTGGGGCCCTCTGAGGCGCCTGGTCGATTGAGACTTGCCGAATCGCAGCATCCTTCAAAGCAAGCCAGGATGCCCCATGACGCGCGAGTGTCTTTCATTTTTCACGAACTATTCAACTCTTTCTCTCTCTCGCACACTCTTGTCACACACACACTTCCTCCCCTCACTCGGGATTCATCCCTCGTTGCCATCCCCCGCATTCCAGTCTTTGGTCGTACAGCCAACGCTGCGACCCCCCGATTCAAGCACTGCAACACCCAATACACTGGGTTGACATAGTTTGGAATTCTACGTTGCCCGCCGCAGCGGATTGAAGGCGATCATTTGAAGCTGTTTGCCACTGGCTGCATACACTAAAGTACATTGCCGGCGCTGGCAGGCCGCTCCCATTGTTTGCACTCGATCATTCACGCCCACCGACGTAGCATTTATCGAGTTTCCCTTTCAGCTTCTGCAGGGAACAGACCGGTTGCTGAAGAACCAACTAGGCTACCTGGGCCATTTGCAAATCATAAATTCTCATACTATCTATCGCCCTTCCGCGCCGCTGTCAACAACAACCTTTGGCTTCTGCAACCAACTACTAACTACAATCGATTGCGAACAAAACTCATTATACAACCATAATGGAGCGCAAGCTCTCTCAGAAAGCAACCAAGATTCGCCAGCGCTTGACTTTCAGTCGAAATAGCCGAACTCGCGCCTCAACCATGAGTTCATCCACGGCGTCCATCAACATCCCTGGAAGCCGCCCACGTTCAGCCACCACTCCTCTTTCGTCAAACATCCCCGAGACATCATTGGACAACAAGGATGATATTCGGCGCTACAATTTTGAAGAAGAGCCAGGATTCTTCCGCCCAGCGTCGCCTTTGATTGACCGACAAGAAATCGAAGAAGACCTGGAAGACGAGGTCAAGCATTCCTGCTCACTCCTCCTCCAAAGTCTTGACCGCGGACTCCCTATGTGGCCGTGTTTCGAAACAGGATCCCTGTCCACTCGACATGGACATGGTGGCACAGTGGCCCAAGCTTCTTCACTAGAAACACGCACCAATTTTCAGGGCCGTCGTCTATCTCCGGCCCGAATCGTGGAGAAGGAAATTCCCGCGCGGAAGGCTGAGCATGATTCCGGCGTGGCCTTTAGCAATCAATCGCCAAGATATTATGGCCGAGCCTATCAGAACATCTCACCGGCTTTACATGTCTCTGCCACTGCTACTGCTACAGTAACGTGCAATGGCAATGGCAGGTTCTATGGAGGCCGACTATCAAGCTCTCCACACGAAGAAGAGGAATCCCGAGGCCGCACCCGAGGCCGCAGTTTCGCTACAGAAACAACATCGCCACAATCTCCATCACGATCACGCTCTCCCTCATTCTCCCGCTCTCGTTCTTCAAGCCCTGTCCTTTTCCCATACAGCCCGCCTCAAACAGATGCACTCTGGGCCCACGATGATACACACAACATGAAGCCTCTGAACCAACCGCTCGCAGAGCGAGACATCTCCCTCGGCGTAGAAGGCATGACCTGGCTCCGAGCAAGCCTAGACATGCAAGCATGCCGTGACATCCACTCCTCCCCAACCAACCCACCCCCGACTCAAAAGAACTCCTTAAATCCAGCCCCAGCCGCACCACGCCGTTTCTACAGTACCCGCCAAGCGCCCACGAAGAAGAAACTCGCCAACTTCTCCGCATACGAGGTTACCAGTAGCCGAAACTCTAGTATCTGCGGGAGTATCTCAGTGCATAGTTTCTCTTCTTTCGACGAAGATGGTGATGGAGAGGAGAAGTCTTATCACAGCTTTTATAAGCTTTGTGTTGATGGAGCGGGTACTACAAACCCTGCGACTGCTATGCCTCGAAACCAAGAAACGGTTTATTCGGTTGGATTGTCGCCGGATGATGCTCAGCCAAGGCATAAGCGTAAGCGGGCGTCGCATTTGCTGAAGAAGTTGGCTGGGTTGGGGATGCGGAAGAGGGAACCTTCTATGGAAGGGAGGAGGATACATACAGCTGTTGCTGCTGCTGGCTGAAGAGGAGAACTTTGAATTACTACGATTACATGTCCACTCGCTGCTTTTAGCCTTTTCTTTTGTTTGATATGGTTTGTTTTGTCTTGTACATATACCCATTAGCACTAGACCTCGTTTTTCACAAAACACCTTTTTCTTCTTGTCTACTTATTTGAATAACTTTCCTACACGTAGTTCAAGCATGAACTTTGGAAATATAACCTTGGAAGACTTGGAAAATTGAGATGGTTGTATTGGCTTCTTTGACATCAAGCAAGATATGAGAAAAGAGAAAACAGAAGTATTGTGAGGGACCCAAACACCGGTCAAAATGCAACTTGAGAAATAGTAACATGATAGAAAAGAAGATAAAGGGGAATCAGAAGAAGTAAAGAATCCCATCGGGAAAGACAAAATAAAAAAAGATCCACACTTTCAACCGCATTTTATGTATGGGATACATCACGCTCCTCCGCGGCGAGGACGCTTGTTGTCCCCACCCATACGTGCACCTCGTCCGCCTCCTTCACCACCGTTGTCTTCAGGATTAGGACGTCCACGCTTCCGCTGTCCACCGCCGCTCTCACGGTGGTGATCTCGTTCACGCCCACGGTCACCACGGCGCTCACGCTCACGATCCCGATGCTCGGAGCGGTTTCCTCGATCTCCGCCTCCACCAGGTCCCCAGCGACGGGGAGAATTGTCATCAGCTGGAAGAGGAGGCGGGGGAGGAGGTGGAGGGGGCGGTGGTGCACCCATTGATGATGGCGGGCGAAGACGGCCTTCGGCCTCGTTGGCATTTCCACTGCTACTGCTGGGTGCAGCTCCGCTCGTATCTGGGGGTCCGTCATCACCACGATCACGTCGGTCTCGGCGTCGCATCTCCTCGCGCGAACTTGGCACTCTACGCAAAGTATCGCGGGGTTGCTCCGCATGGCGCTCTCGATCACGATCCTTGTCTTCCCGTCCGGAACCGCCACCACTACCACCAACATCGCTTCGACGGCTGCGTTCGCGATCAGAGTCACGGCCACGCTCGCGTCGCTCTTCTCGTCGAGAGTTACCAGTGCTGGCATCGTCACCCCGGCGCTCACGATCCCTATCGCGGTTCCTATCCCGATCAGGGTTCCGGCCCGAACGGCGATTTTCTGGAGTAGCGGCATCGCCAATCAACTCGGTGCGGGATTCTGGGCGGCTGCGAGTAGAACCGGACTCGTCGGCACCAGCTGGACCCTGAGGAGGTCGAGGCGCAGCTTGAGGAGAAGGCATGGTTGCACTCGATTGTCGATTTCCGTTGCCGCGTCCACGAACAGGAGGTGTGGTCACACCGCGCTCTACAGCGCCATTGGTCTGCTGTAGCATGTTGTTGATACCGGCGAATCGCTTATCACCTCGACTGCGGTCACCACCAGGTCCGCGTCCACCTTGCTGATTCGAGGCCCGAGGTCCAGACGGGGGAGTCATGGTAGTTGCAGGTGATTGCTGTGAGTCCGCTTCAAACTGCCTCAATCGATCAGGGTGAATGCCTGTACTTTCAGCAGGTTCCGAGCTCTGGGATGGAGCAGCAGGAGGTTGTTGATCTGGGGGCCCGCGACCACTCGCGCGACTAGGGCCAGTGGGGATTTGGCGCTCAGGAGTGGGTAGCTTGCCATTGCTTGAGCTCGGGGGAGGAGCATGACTTGGCGCATTGCGCGCGTTGCGGCCCTTTCCACTGGCGCGAGGCCCAGATGGAACGTCAAGAACGGGTTCAGGTCCGCGCAATCGGCCATGTTGCAGATCAGGTTCACCCCCAGAACGGTCACCACGAGGACCCCCAGGAAACTCGTCATGTCGAGTTGCCGGGTTGAAGTTACCCGGTCGACGATCGTTAGGGAAGCGTTCAGGGCGGTTGGGCAAATCAGACCTGGGAGGCGATAGCGGACGTTGTGGATAAGGGCGTCGATCCTCTTTCTCGGGACGCATCTGGTCACCACGGCGAGGGCCATCAGCCGGACGATCTGGGATGTCAGGAGGGATCTCCCCGCGCGCAGGGGCGTCGCGACCATGGAATGAATCAGGCCTGGGACGACTGCGATCAGATCCCCATTCTGCGTCGCGTGGAGGGCGACCATCGCGATATGGTGGTCCACGCATGGGGTCGTCGACGGGAGGTCGCATTCCAAACTCACGGTCACGTCCATGACCGCGGGGATCTGTAGCACCAGGGCCATCAAAAGAACGAGTTTGATCCGCACCGGCTCCCTGTCGGTTGCGAGTGTTGAATTCAGGGTGCCTGCCTCGTCGGTCATCCATTAAGTCGGGACGTGGAGGAAGTCGACCTTCGGTATGTCGAGGAAGACGAGCCACGTCACGCGGGTTCATCGCAGGCTCCGGCCGTTTCGGAATATCAGGCTGGCGTCCTGTGCGAGACCGGGCTCGGGTTCCCTGTTCACGATCTGCAGGGCGATCCAGAGTATCTGGACTCGTATCCATGGCAGCGATATCCATAGAAGGTTTGGTGATGGGCTGGGATTCATCCGCCTTGACAGCAGTAGCATCGGTCATCTTGGTATCGTCTATCTCACCATCCTCAACTTCACCTGTGGCGGATTCTTGCTTGGTAGCGATGGCGGTGCTGAGGGAAGGGTCAGTGTTGCTTGCTTGCTGTTATATTGGATTGGCGACTTACTCTTGGGTGCCGGGCTTGAACTCAGGTGCAGTGGCATTCAGGGCGGGCGATTGTGAGCCAGGAGTACCGGCCTTGTCGGAATGATCGGCTGGGGGATGAGATCCAGTGTTCGGCTGGCCACCATCAGGGTGCTTGATCAGGTTGAAAGCCTGAGGAAGCATCCAATTCTTCTCTCGTCGATTGAGATCACCGATGAGGGAAGCAGCGGGGATCTTGACATCATCTCGTTCATCCTCCTTGCTGAGCGTGTCGACGCAGGCGCGCATCTCACGACCAATCCAGTTGACGGCGGGGAAATGCTGAACAACTGCTTTGAGAATACTGATAGCATTGCGAATGTGCATGTATTCGCCTCCATTGAGACAAGTCTTGAGGGCACTGGAAAACAACCGGTGCCACTTGTAAAGAAGACGACGGAAATCCTCAAATTCCAAGAACGCGCCCGGGACTCCCTCGGGATCAACGTTTTTCGCAAAACCAGGGAGATCCCTCTTGGAACCGAATGCTTCCTTCTCATACACAGCCTTGTCGGCATGCCAACGGGCAAGGTCCCGTAAGATCTCATTCAAGAAAAGTCCAAGGTTATCGGCTTCCTTTGAGGTACACATGAAGATGAGCGAGGACAGGCGTTGTTCCCGGAACAGTTGATCAATAAGACCGACTGTACGAACGTTGGGGGTTCCAGCGCTGTGCAGGAACTTCAACATCTTGAAACAGAAGAAAGCATCAATAGGAGACAAAAGCAGTCGGGGAACAAAGCACTGCTCTAGCAATGCTATATTCAGCGCATCATGTTTGCGACGCATGCCACCGAACCATCGGTCCTTTTCGGATTGCAGTCTACTGCGTGTCTGTTGATAGGTTTTGACATGATGCTTATTTTCTGCCAATAAGCGCTCTTGCAAATTGGTGATTTGTTTCTTCTCCCACTCCTTTCGTTGAATGACAGCCAGAACATCAGAACGGTCGATGCGCGGCACCTTCCTCTTCAATTTATTAATCTCCTCCTCGTATGACTTCTGAGGCATGTGCATATCGTGAGGAGAAAGTTGCCAGAATGTCGCATAGAAGTAGGCACCGACTGTTTCCCATGACTCGGCTGGCAAAGAAGACTTGACATTATCAATCAAATCCTGCATGACGGGATTAGCAGCCAGCGGCATAGGTGGTACCGCAGGCGGAGCAGGTGTAGACTGCTCATCTGCATCCATGTCCATAGTCTCCCCTTCATTGACTAGAATTTCTCCATCCTCGTTGATATCCATCTTAGCTTCACCATTGGACGCAGGCGTCGAGACCTCTGCACTGTCCTTGCTTGAAGACTCCAGCTCCGCCTTGGAGTTCTCGAAATCGGCGATCTTCCGAGACACACTGACGCGCCGAATCCAGAAAGCGATTTCGGGTTGAATGCCGAAGTCTTGGATCAGGGAAGCGAAGCCAGGAACAAAGGAGTCAAACTCGTCAACGGATAGGTTTGAGCGGAGGAAATCGAGGTATTGAGTGAGGATGCGGTGGATTTCATCAAAGATATTGCCGAGAAGCTTCAGTTCTGATGATGACTCGTTAAAGACACATGTAAGCCGCTCTTGTGCAATTGCGACCAGCAGTTGACCGGCGAGGCGAGTGTGGGTGAGTGACTTCAACAGCCGTTTTGAGGTCAGCTTTGAATCCTGTCGTTTATCCAGAAGTTGCAAGAGAGTCTGTGCTTGGAGGATCTCGCCACCAGTCATAGCGTGGATCTGGGCTTCGTTGAAGTTGGTGTCTGTGATGATACCCGCCATGGAGCTGATCATTTGCTCCAGAACAATAAGGTCCGTTGAATTGTTATGACGAAGTTGTTCAACCACATATTGTAGCAAGGGGGCAGGATCCATGACGGAGTATCGTTTGAAAGTTCGACCAGCGAAGTTTGACAACGCGTTAAGCCATCGGCTAGTGAGCAAACCACCTTCTTGCACGCGGCTTCTTCCTTTCTGGCCAAGTGAATTGATGAGTGACCAGGTCAGGATGTCGTAAGCCAGGTCAGTGAAATAGCGCGCACACTCGACAACAACTTCGATCAGGTTTTCATAAGATTCAATTTGACTAACGGCAACATTGATAACAACACCGGGGTTGGCGTAGGCGATCTTGGCCAAAGCACGGGCCATTGGTCGAGTATTAGTTTTGCTGAGACGCTTGAGGGTGTCTTTGGTTTCTGCTCTTGCTTGGTCGAAAGCCGACTTGATATCTGGAAGTCGAGATGTCTGTCCATAATTCCACTCGGCGTACATGTTGTAGCGAACATCGCGAGGGAAAAAACTGACAAGACCGAACACTTCATTGACAACACCAGGGTTCGCCTTTGTCAAAC